TAAAAATTCTAATTTATGTTTATATTTTTATACTTTATGCCCACCAGGATTTCAAACACATACATGCACGAATTGTATCTATTTTAAGACTACATCTTTTATCTGTTATCAGATCAGTTCCACCAGAAAAAACTCGTTCTACTGGAACACTTGTTGCTTTAAAATTAATTTATTAGCTAATATTTAATAATTTTATAAATAGCAAACTTTATTTACCTGTAATTGCATGATAATCTCTCGCCATTGCTGCTAGATGTGGAAATTCCATTTCGTGAAGCTATATATATAAATTGAATTAATAAATAAATCATATAATCATTATAATATATATATTTACCTTCCACCAAAGAAGAATATCCTGATCTCGTGCTGCTCGAGGAGTTTTTAAATATAATTCTACTTCATTATTTTGAATTTTTTGCTGTTTACCAAAAATATGATCTAAAAATTCATCATTTTCATCGTTATCATCATTATTATCATCTTCTGTATTAATATCAGATATATAATTAGTATAAACATCAAGAACTGTTTTTTTAGCATAATGAATAAAATTTTGTTTCCAATTATTATCAATATAATAATCTAGTTTGAATCGTGGATCAAGTACTATATAATTTAAATTTAATATTATAAGTTTATAATTCAGTTTATTTGAAAATAATTATAATTTTTTAAACTTACCAGTAGCAATTGTATATATAGTTGTATTATCTGTTTTTGTATAATATGTTTCAAGTTTCTTCAAGCCTGCTTTAACAGCAGTTACTATATCATTAGGACTGTCAAACTTATCACAATATGTTTCAAGTCCATCTATTAAATAGTTATATATTGGTATAACAGAGGAAAGCATAGGATATTTTGCAGATGAAAGTGCTTTGGTAGTTCGTACAAATATCTATATAAAAAAAATTAATTATAAAAACTAAATTAAAATTAATTAATTTATTAATTTACTTACCTTTAAAACAGATATAATTTCATTAATTCTATACCATTCATCATCACTAAATTCAAAATTTTGCAGTTCTTTATCTGAACTTGTAATTATATCTATAGTCTATAATATAATTATATAAATATAATATAATATAGTTATATAAATGTAATATAATATTAAAAATAAATAAAAAATTAATTTATAAATAATATATACTAACTTCACGCATTTCAAATGCTCTACTAAGCATATCATAAGTTGAGTTCCATCTTGTTTTCACATCCAAAATAAGATTAAGATTTTTTAAATTAGCTACTTCAGCATGACGTATAAAACGTTCTTTACGTTGTGGTGATGATCTTATTTTAACTATAAGTTTACGAAGCTATATATATATAAAATTAAATATAATAATTTAATTAATTAATCTTAATTTTATAGATTATATATTAAAAATTAATCAATTAAAAATTTAATATATATAAAAAAAACACATAAAATAAATTAAAAAAAGTCTTACCTTTGGAATTATCTCTCCAGCAGTTATAATTGTATCAATATTATCCAAAATATTATCTTCTGTTTGTGCTTCACCAGCTTTAATTTGCTTTAAAATATCTTGAACTACTAAATTTATAATATGAGCAATACAACGACAATGAGAATTGATAGCATTAAAAGAAATATTTTCTTCTTCACAGATAATTTCTAAATATTTCATAAAGGTATCATTATTTGAAGCATTATCACTTGTAATTGTAAAAATCTATTAAATTAATAAATAATTTTATTAATATATTTTTACAATTTAATAAATAAATAAATAAATAATTTATTTACCTTTGTTAAAATTCCAAATTCATGACAACTTTTTACAAAAGCTTCACAGAGATTTTCGCCAGAATGAGGACCAGAAAGATTTATAAAATCTAATAATTCATCTTGAAGCTTCCAATCTTTTGTAATCCAGTGTGCCGTAATAGCTAAAAAGGCATAGTTATTTGTTGATGTCCATGCATCTAAAGCAAATGAAATTTTTCCTGGTATGTTCTATTAAATTAATATAATATAATATAATATAAATATTATATTTTTTAAAAGAATTATTTATATGTATATTTAAAACAACCTGAAATAATTTCTTCATATTTTTTTGCTCCTCTTCAAAGCTTTTTATTATATCACTTTTTACTGTATCTGCTGAAAAAACTAGTGCCTCTGAATTTAACACTCTTATCATTTGTCGAAAACTTTTACTTTCAAGTGTTGTAAATGGTTGATCATCAGCAATTATCCATTTGGTGGCAAACTTGCGAAAATCTGCTTGTGTAAACTTAAAATACAAAATATTAAATAAATATAATCATAATGATAATAATTACTACAAAGTTTAATTTTTAATTTATATAAAATTCATACTTTAGATGGAAATTCCGCATAATCTGTAAAATCATCTAATGTACTTTGATCTGAAATTTTTACTTTCTTTGGATTTATATTTGGATGATGATGCTCTAGATGACGCCAGAGATTTGTTGTATTGGAATCACCAATTTTACGAAGCCATGTCTTATTACTTTAGAATTTTAAGAGATATGATGTATTATTAATTAATAATATACATCGTACATGCATATATTTGACTTTTTTTAAGAATACTTACGGACAGTTGAGACACTTAACTTCTCGATGAGTTTTTGCATATTTATGTTCTGGTGGAAGATCCTTCTCTTCAAAAAACCCTTTAGTAAAAAGTTCACTACGCAAATTACGTGAAGCTTTTCGTTTTTTATTATTAGAATCACTCATTATTAAACATTACAATAAAGTTGAAAATCAAACGTCGCATAACGTAAAACAAAAAAAAATACC